TTCTACCAGTTTTTGTTTGACCCTCTGTAAGAAGAGATCTACGTCTGCCGCAGGGTTTTGCCGAAAACGAAAAGAATGACCCCTTAAAATTCCATGAAATACGAATATTGTTGTTTTAAAAATAATATCGTTAACTACAAATGGATGCCACTCAAATAAGTAATAATGGCGTTAACGGATGGAAAGGAATTTTTGTGTATATAGAACTTAAATATATTTTGTGAAAGGTTATTTAGAAATTCCTTTACTTTTGAGTTAGTGTCAAACTGGCTTTTGTTGCTCTGATACGTTATTCTCGTAATTGTTTTCACGAATTTAAAATTAAACCCCTTAATTTGATGTTTGTAATTTCCACGCAGAATGCAAATAAGAAGGGAAAAATAGCTTACATCTGTTTTTGAAATATATTCAATAAAAAAATATTAAAACTTATTTGATAAAACTGTTAATAAACATGTTATGTTATAATATTTTAATTATTTTTGTAGTAGACAACAATCTTTATTTGTATTTTTTTGCAGTTTTAGTACTACTACAAAATTTTCAGGCATACTGCTTGTTTCGAATTAAGCACAAAGCTAAACAATTGGTTATCTGTGTTCTGCCCACCACGGTTTCTAGCGTTGCAAGTCCGCAGATATACCGCTGTGCCACTGGGGGGCTTCAGACATATTATTTTATATTTAGCTTCAAGAAATATATATCCTTAATTAATGGACACTTATAATTTTGTGAGAATTCAGAATTTCAAGTTCTTCAGGTCTAACAGTTAATACCAATAAATGTTTTCGTAATTATACACAATAGCAGAAATGCCGCCCTAGAGATGGCTGTTTGTGCTAGTAATTAATAATCGTAGTATTCATACCTCATTGAAAAAAAAGTGAACATTTTCTAAAAAAGTTGTTTTTTTTCTGGAAAGTACTGCACAAGAAAAGTGTTCGGATTGTACTCTTTAGTCATACGCAACTCATGCCATCAAAATGATTAAATGTACAGAGCTCAAAATTTTCATAAATTTTACTGATATAAATCGTAATATTTATATCTTTGAGTATTCAAGACTCAGACAATTATAAAAACAACTATGGTATATGTAACAACCATTTATTTATAATATAACACAATTTTAAATAAAAATACTCTCTTCACAACAAAAACACGACTTTCACTAGAACTGTACGTGAGAGTTTGATTATATCTTTATTGATGTAATTTTTAAATGTAGTACTGAGAAACTGGAGTTCTTAAAAAACTATTATTTTTTTCAATAAACGGTACCACATTTAATACTGTGAGATTTTTTTATGGATTTTTGTTTGTGGTGTCATTCAATAGATGGCGTAGGAGTTTTGGTTACATACATAGATACTGACATACACGCTACGTCCATTACAGTAAGAAAATTGTATGGTCTATTAAAAACAATTCATACTTAGAATATTAACTTTTTATTTTGTCGCTTTAAGGAAAATCAGCTGATACGTGAAAAAAAAAACAATCTGTAGATATTATTTCATTACAGGTATAATAATAACCGTCACAGACTTTAAAATACTGGCTAAGAAATAGATATAATTTACATCTGAAGATTAATGAATATAATATTCATGATTTTGTATTCTTAAACACGGCTTCTCTATAGAAGTACAACAAATTATAAATAGTCAGTTAAAATATATCACTTTACGGAGAGTTCTATTTATGATTTAAAAAACTTTTTAACAGTAAAGTTGAGCTTCAAATAATCATGAAAGATCATGTATTCAATTTTTTTGGACTGTAATCTACGATGTATATAATTATAAATGAATATACAAAAGGTACATGTTACAATAACAATGATATAGAGTGAATTGTTGTTAACCCTGAATACACATTAACACCACAATACCAATGGCATAGAGTGAATTGTTGTTAACACTGAATACACATTAACACCACAATACCAATGACATAGAGTAAATTGTTGTTAACACTGAATACACATTAACACCACAATACCAATGGCATAAAGTGAATTGTTGTTAACACTGAATACACATTAACACCACAATACCATTGACATAGAGTGAGTTGTTTTAACCCTGAATACACATTAACACCACAATACCAATGACATAGAGTAAATTGGTGTTAACACTGAATGCACATTAACACCACAATACCAATGGCATAGAGTGAATTGTTGTTAACACTGAATACACATTAACACCACAATACCAATGGCATAGAGTGAATTGTTGTTAACACTGAATACACATTAACACTACAATACCAATGGCATAGAGTGAATTGTTGTTAACACTGAATACACATTAACACCACAATACCAATGATATAGAGTGAATTGTTGTTAACACTGAATACACATTAACACCACAATACCAATGACATAGAGTGAATTGTTGTTAACACTGAATACACATTACCACCACAATACCAATGACATAGAGTGAATTGTTGTTAACACTGAATACACATTAACACATTACAATACCAATGACATAAAGTGAATTGTTGTTAACGCTGGATACACATTAGCACCACAATACAAATTACATGGAGTGAATTGTTGTTAACGCTGAATACACATTAACCCCACAATATCTGTAAGGTGTGAGTTGACTTGCTGCTTCAACTAAATGTTCTCTACAACAAAACACATTTAAATCATAAGGTTATTAGCAAGAACTATTTAGTATTCATCAAAATACTATTACTGTCACTGCTGTCCCTTTTGGCAAACAAACTGTCTTCTTTACTTTCTTTAAAGTATCTAACATAATGCAAAAATAATGTATATGAAAAGAAAAAATCTTAGTTATATAATATTTACTTGTGAACGTATCAGAAACAAAAGTATTGTTTCTCGAAACGTGTGGCTGTGAATGTATTTGTTTGTTTGTTTTTTGAATTTCGCGTAAAACTACACGAGGGCTATCTGCGCAAGCCGTCCCTAATTTAGCAGTGAAAGACTAGGAGGAAGACAACTAGTCATCACCACCCACCGCCAACTCTTGGCCTACTCTTTTACCATTGATTTTACCATTTGCGATTGACCGACACATTATAACGCCCCCCACGGCTAACAAGGCGAGCATGTTTAGTGGGACCCGCAGATTGCGTGACCGCCGGGCCGGCTGTGAATTTAAATAGTTCGGATAATATAGAAAATAACTATATCTTATTTTGGAACCTAGTAGAAAAAACACGAAATATGTAAAAGATTTTCGGCGTTTTTCCACCATGTCTATTTGGCATAATAATCTATTTTCTGTTACATTCAAAATTATGTGTCGTAACGGAATATGTTAAGCTCATATATTTAATTTAATTTTTGTATTAACATATATATATATATATATATATATATATAACAGAGTAATCACAC